TCACCATATACGTTTCCTAACTTTCTGGTAAAGAGCTGAGAAGTAATAATCCTTACATCTCATCATCTATATTCATTTTCATAGCAGCCAACTTGTTTGCAAAACTCTAAAATAGGCTTATATGGTCAACAATATTGTCACCATCTTTATACTTCACATTTACAAGTCTTCTGAGGAGAGAAATTATATTTCCTACTTTTTTTTCGCAAAGAGGTTTTCTAACCTTTGCCAAACAACATCAGCTCTGGTTTCATCAGAAATATACTCATGCAAATTTATATTCATCCATATTCTAATATAGGCAATAGCTTTTCTATGTTGAACTTTTCATTCCTCATCGTCCATAGTATGTGGTTTATTTTTAACCTTGATGGGCTTATACAAATCTTTATAATAGAGCAAATCTTCCATCATACATCTCCAAGTGGAATAATTTGATGAGTTCAATTTAATCATACCATCTGACTCTATTTCAATCACACAAGAAAAAAAACTAGCACCATATCACTTATTGGGAAAATCCTATTAAAGTGAAATAATTTTTTTCCTCTTTGTATATCAAAATGGGTTCCTTATCATAATACCAACTTGGTATCAAAAGCACATATGAACCAAAACAACGTAAACAGCATAACAGTGAATCAATCACAAAGTGAGACACCGAAGGAAAACCGAGAAAAACCATAAGATCGTAGTCCATCTCAAACTTCCACTATCAAATAGTAATAATAAGAGGTTTACAATAAGTATTTTCTAAAATAACAAGAGGATTATAATAACATTAAGACCACATATCTTGGTTATATCATGATCACATAGATGTATCTCATCAAAATAAAAGTTTAAGTCTCACAAAGTGGGTATAGTAGGAAAGTAACTCAAAGAGAATAAACTTCAGATCAGCACCGTTATAATTGTAGAGCTTGCTATAAGGATTCTCTACATATAATTTAGGCTAAAGCTGACAATGTTTAGTCACTGATCGTCAAGCAAAATAACTTAGAATCCTATTTCTCTCTCTATGTCTGTCGCCACCATTCGCTGCACGCATCAAAACCCTTTGCTACACGCATCGTGCACATCTCTTCCCCTTTTTCTTTTCATTGTTGATTTGAGCTCAAAAAGTCCAATTGTCCGATCCAAGCCCACATATGGGCTGGACCCAAGAGTATTGAAAACTCTTCTAGGTGCAATAGCGAAAACACCCTTCTTGAAAGATAAGGAAGAGATTTAGGAATTGTAGATACATTTTTAGGGAAAAATATTTCAGTTTTCATAGGGCTAAAATGTTGATTGGTGAGGTATTCGTAAGTATGAATAATATTATTAATAGTAGTACATATTTTTTATTAGCTCTAAAGGATAATAAAATATCATAAGCAAATATAATATGACTCGACTTGCTTTTTGAACCAAAATTAAGAGGTGTAGGTTTATTTTGCCTAATGGCCTCATTAATTAACTAAGAATTTAAGCCATTAAGATATATAGACAACGGGATAACAGATCCCCTTATCTCACACCACACCTACTACGAAAAGTAGGAGAAAGCTCACCATTAACTAGATAAGAGAAGGAAGATGATTGTATACAAGCTTGAATCCAACCTACGAACTTATTAAGAAAATTCATAAGAGAAAGAGTTTTCAAAATGGCACCCCAAGACAGTCTTCAAAGGCTTTTTCTAAGTCCAATTTAATTAAAATCAAAGGATTTTTACCCTTGTAAGAGTGCATAGTATGAGCCACCTCTTGAGCAATAAGTATATTATAGTAGATACTATACCCAAGAATAAATGTTGATTGCTCACCACTAATAAGATTATTAAGAAAAGATTTTAATTTGTTATATAAAACTTTGGCTAAAATTTTGTAGTTTATATTAGAAAGAGCTATTGAACGAAAATGAGTTACAAGTGTAGGATTGTTATGTTTAGGTATGAACGTCACATGTGTTTGGGCCTAAGAAGAAGAAGGAATGTTGGGCCAGTACAGGTTAAGGGCAGAATAAGAAGAAGAGTTATTCTAAAGATCATAATAGTGAGCACAAAAAAAATATTGATTATAGATTTATTTTCTTGAATAAGATTATTGTTATTGTCATATATACCATTTATGAAGTTTAGATGTTTTCGTTGAACAACCAAATTGTGAAAATATTTAACAGTCTTGTCCCCATCATTAATTCAGTTACATTTTACTTTAGCCTACCATTTAAGGTTAAGCTACTCTACAAGAGCCATATGATGATTATAAAGGGAATTGAGCTAAAAAGGGATTGAATCAAAGTGCCCACCGCTATCAAGCTGAGACTCAAGAGTAATGATTTGATTTTGAATATTATCCAACTTAAATTCTAGCATTCCTAAGGTATTTCTGTTCTAGCAAGAAAACACTCCATGAGCTTTACACAAATTAGAATGGAAAAGCAGAAAGGAGTTCAGTGCAAGATTCATTATTGTTAAAAACAGAAGTAACTAAGTTATTAGTTCAAGCTGAGACTCTAGAGCAATGATTTGATTTTGATATTATCCAACTTAGATTCTAGCATTCCTAAGGTGTTTATGTTCTAATGAGAAAAAACTGCATGAGCTTTACACAAGTTAGAATGGAAAGCAGAAAGGGGTTCAGTACAAGATTCATTATTGTTAAAAACGGAAGTAACTAAGTTATTAGTTTCAGTATAATGTGTCCAAAAATTCTGAAATCTACAAAAATTACTTCTACTAAAAGTGTGACTCAATAATTTGATTTTGAGAGGTGCATTCTCAGAACAAAGACAAGGAAGATCATAAACAGAAGAATTTTGGTATGAATCAAACCAAAGAGCATTACCAAAAACTCTATCAAGTCTAACAGAAGTTCTAGCATAACCTTGCCTATTATTGCACCAAGTATACTTGGAGCCAAAGTATAAATATGTAAGATTGCAATGTTTTACAAACTCGAGAAAGACACAAGTAGATGCACTGGCAGAGAATTGTTTACCACCTAATTTATCATATAAGTTTAAAATACAGTTAAAATCACCCATGAGACAGCATGGAATGTCAAAAAAAATTAAGAGCAGATAAATCAATCCATGACCTATTATGATTAAGCAATGAAGTGCTAGCATAAAAACCAATCAAAAGCCAAGGTTTATCATTATGAAACTATACAATTGCATGTATAAACCAACTGAGAATGTTTGGATATCGCCTGGACATGTGCAAGTAAAGTTAACCAAGCAAGAATTATACCCCCCGAAGCACCTTCGGGCGGTCGAAAATCTTCTTGCCCAATGTTCAGCATTGGCATGAGTCTCCTATAACAACAAAATAGTAGGTTTCTGTGCACACACAACACAACAAACATAAGATAGAAACTCGGGTTTTGTTTTATGCCATGATAATTCTAACTATGTATTATCATTTAGGTGCCGAGAGCATGATAGAGATTGACCTAGTATTGATACCAATAGCAGATAATAATCAGCTTCAGAAACAAAAAAGGAATTTTTAAGCTTTTTCTTTACTTTAATAGCACCATTTATAGCTTTTAAACTGGTATGGGTAGAAACCCTAGATGTAGACTTAGCTGAGAGCAAATCCTTGTGAATAACAAGTGGGCGATCCATTGAAGCATCAAAATGACCAGATTTACGTAAACAAGGATCATTCACAGAGCGACGAATTTGTATAATCGAAAGAACCTTATCTGCCATGGATCTGGCTTCAGGAGTTCCACCTTGATCGATTGTTAACTCGATGGAGACGGAACAATGGCTAAAGGGGCTGGGTCAAGGATAGAAGAAGAATCATCAACCTGCATAACTATAGAGGAAGAAGAAGACTGTTAGGGAATAGTCAAATTAGGGTTTAAAGTATACGAAGGGGAGATTTCAGTCTTTTCGAAGAGTCGAAGCCTTGAAAATCCATAGCATAGCAATGAAAATTGGCTTCCACAGAAGAATGCCAAGGAAGATTTCACACTTTTTTTCAATATCACACAAGGGACTCAACAGCAACAGCAGAGGAATAGTGGGACAGCTGGCTGCGCGGGAGATGATGGTATAACGTTTAGGCCGGAAATCGTCACCTGTTCCTTCACGTGCACTACACGTGGTGAGTCAGTAGACTAATTTGCTCTCGTCTCCGGCGCTGTGCTGAACTCTGATCCAAGGACTGAAAGTGAGATCATCCGAAACCCTATCATCCATAGGACGTGGTTGAGAAAATCTTGTAAGGTTGAAGATGTAGGAATCGAAGAAACCTCGGAACCATTTAGACACTGAACTGATATTTTATCACCCAACTGACTTCAATGATAGCAATGGGGGGAAGGGTTTTCATAAGAAACTTCCCTGAAAATGGCAGATTTAGGTTCACCTATCCCATATGCCTTGAATCAATTCAAAGGCTTGGTAGTGGTCGATCTCCCCACGCAGTCGAACATAACGTCCTCTCTCCAATTCGAGAGAAGATGGATCAATTTTCAAGAGACACCACACCCTAGGAGGTAAGTAAGAGTGAAAATGCACTCTTCATTCTAATGTTCCATGGGAAGGCCAAGACGACAAACCCAAATAGGGGTTGTATCAATTTTGGTCGCCGTTGGTTGGAAGTTTAGCTTCCATGGAGTTAAAATGAAGGATTCCAAGGGCCATCGGGCAATTTGAATCAGAACTAAAATGAAAGAGATAAAAAGTCGGCTTCCAATGGCCATCTCACGAATCTAGAGGTTTCGGTGGAACATGGGGGGTGGGGAGGAGAGGGAGAGACCGTCACGGGTAAAAATACCATCCTATTATATTAAAAGTTATTCCACTCACCATAAAGAGAAGGAACTTAATTAGCATATTAAATTAATGAATACAAACTCCGTCGAACTTTTATTGAGACGTGGCCAATTAAACTTCATTCAATATGATTGTTTTATTATGACCCATTAAATTCCAGCGGCAATGCATATTAAATTATTTTCTTTTAAGGGTATTAAAAGAAGCAGAAGCAGAAGCAGAAGCATTAAAAGAAAGACTTCCCAACAAGAAACAAAATTAGATTACCACAATGATTCATCTATTCTTTTTATTTTCGAGCACAACCAACAACTGATAAGTTAAAATAAGAGACTAATTTATAGGGGAAATCATAAATCAAAACTTTATCAAGAAGGTACGAATCTCCATCGGTCCCAATTCAACGACAAGTGTAGTATTGTCGACTGGGGAACCCCTGATAGGAGCTGAAACAGTTCCAACATCTCCTTCCGTTCTCCATTTCATCTTCTTCATGTTTGTCTTATTTTGGTTTGCTGATAAGTTCGTCTCTCTTAATTCTTTGATCTGCAATCCAGAAAACATTGAAGTCAACAATCTAAAGTTTACATTTTCCAAGTGGCGTATAAAGAGATGGAAGCTGCTTTATTGGTTATGGTATGAGACCAACACTTTGTATCTTCGATTGTGAGATATTGGGGCATCACAGTTAATACATCATGCCTGGACTAAAATAATCCTTTGTTGATATTATTAATCAAATTCCAATAGCTAATCTAATAGAGGGCAGATATATCCTATAATTAACAGACCGATGTTTACGAAGATATCTGACAAACCAAAATTTCATTATAAAATCCGAGAAGAAAAATTCTTTTTTTATGAAATCTTAAGAAAACTTAAATGAATAATATATGGAATAGAATGTGATGGTGTCCACTAGTTTGTCTGTTAAAGATCTTGACTCTTAATAGGAAGGTACTGGGATTGAATCCCTTATTTGTTACTTACCTTTGTAAAGATGTAAGTAATCCTTTGATAAGGACCTATCTAATATTGAGACATTGAAGACTATAATCCTTTTACTTAAATCTAATATTGAGACATTAAAGATTATAATCCTTTGATAAGAACCTACGTGTTTATGGATGATACAAAATAGTTTATATGATTAGGAAAGTGATGAATATACCATTTTCCCTGCGAAGACCTTTTTCAATTCAACCACAGCCATCGTTGAATATTGAAGATCCTCTGCAGCCTATGAAAATGCAAAGGATTCAATATGTGTTGAAAAATATATCCTACAACTAATTCACATCATACCTCATACAAATGTGCCAAACGGAAAAGGGTAGTTCCATCATCCAGATCCTGAAGATCAATCTCATTCGTTTAGTAAAAGTGTTCTTCGAGGATCAAATGGGAATTCAAGAAAACATAATGATACCTGAAGTGTGATAATTGCAACATTCGGAGGCAGATTATACCCAACGTCCATTGAAGTTGATTTTGCCACATGAGATGACTTCCAACTTTCCTCATCCTACAAAATCCTGATGTCACAAAATGACGAAGAGAATTATAGTCATAAGCATATATCAAAACCTAGAGTACCTCTTGAGTGAATGCCAGAAGAAGTGGAGAATAAATTTGTTGTCCACATGTTCGCCTCCAATATGCTCCACTACCAAATTTGTTGACACTTATATAGTAATTTCCTCGTGCCTATTATGTTTTTCATATTAGCATAAACTTAAGCATGGATACCGTTCAGTGTATCTGATTCCTAAAATTAATTTGAGGGAAGCACAAAAAAAAAAGGAATAAAAGCTAAATCTTGTATAAGGACAATAAGAAATAATGAATAAAATATTAGTTATTTATAATCAATTGACCTGGAGTTTTACTAGTGGGCCAAGCAGGTGGAAAAGCCCAAGTAGGTTTAGGAAGGTCACAAAATGAACAATCAAGAACATTTGCCAAGGACTAGCTAAAGTCCCTATTTGGGCTAAATATATAATTTTACATTTGGAGCCGATGGAAAACCCAGATACTAGAGAAGATTGCCATAAGATTTTAAATGACTTGTAACTTAGTTACACGAAAGAGTAATGGATCATCTATAAAGTGCAAGGAGACAATTGGAGAGGTACATGGTTCTCTCCCAGAGAGGTTACCTTCCTTAGCCTAGTTGAGGGATACAAAACGAAGGGAGATAAAGGATCTCCCTGGCTCAAACCCAACTTAGGCAGAATCATTCATCTGTTAAAAGATTTCTCAGCAGTCAAATTGACTGATTTGGACATTTTACTCACATCTTATTAATTCAACTGATTTCTATAGTTTGACTAATCCTGTCAATTCCCCCATCCTAGTGTTGATACCAATCTTCCAAACAATGTTAAGAAAAAGCAACTTCGAAAGCTAACCAGACTGTAGTCTTTGATAGTGTTGGCTCCTCTCTTTCAGGGAATAATGAAATAAAAGAGTTGTTAAGCCTGTTAATATCAAAGGTACCATGATAAGAGACCTCAAAGATGGTCATCTGATTAATGACTTCTTTCATCTACATGTAATAGAACCCTCTGAAATGAGATAGAACTAAGGAAATCTGCTCAACTTATTTCCCTTTTTCTTATGACTTTGTATTATTATAATTGTCCATCTTATGACTTCTAAACTTATATAGCTGTTCCACTTGACATAAAATTGTATCTGTTGTTAAGAGCAATGGTGACAATTTGAACATTCAAAGGAGACAAAGATGGCTACATTTAGAAAACGAAAATTCATACAGTTGAAAGGGAGCAGACAAAGATACAAAACAATAACCTATAGTAACTAAATAATAATGTAGACCATACCGTAAGGCCCTCACAAGCATTACTCACACAAACTTGTTCATCAAGTGCTTCCCCAACACCCCTAGAGTCATCAAACAATAAGCGCCTAAAAAAATAATTAGTTAGAGGACTACAGAAGATGAAAAAAAGAAGTTCAAACAAGTACTGATCAAGAAACCAATGTACATATATTAGGTTAGAACCTATGAAGCATAATTTCTATTTCCCCATCTTGAATGCTGGAACCTCCAACAGCACGATCCACAAGAACAGAGAGTTCAGATTTACCATCCGTCATATATATTCCAAGGTTCAGCTGTAATTTAACAAATAATAATAATTGATAGACACTATAAACAAGTTCCAAGCTACTTCACACAAGAAAATCAAGAAAAAACTAACATAGTAAACTGTAAATAAGCTAAATTATGCCAGTACAAGTTGTAAAAAAAATAAAAAAGCTCTTCAATTCTCTTTGAACCAAATGATCAAAAGACTCCATGATTCAGAATCTTGTCAACATGCAATATAAAGAAGAATAGATGGTGTGTCAATGGAGTATGAAGTCATATTAAAAAAAATGATTTAGAAAATCCCAGAAAGATGAATGAGTTTTGAATCCAGTAAAAAGATCTTGGCAGTGGCCCTAGAGTAGATAATGTTTGACTGACAGACTATTCCTTTATGAAGCAAGTTTTAAAGAGATAAATTGCCTGCATTTGGCCTAGTATCTAGATGAACAACCTTAGACTCTTTTATTTCCTTAACGGTCAGAAAAACAGGACTCTCATACCCTAATCCTAATCAAGTGGGAAAACTAACTAGAAAATTTTATGGCCAAGTTAAATATTGGGGAGAACTTTATTGTCAACATTAAATTTTGGAGCAAACTTTATATGGCTTAACTGTTGGATCGAATTTTAGAATTAATGCAAAATGCTGGGACAAACCTTATGACTATGATAAAATTATGTGTTAGCTAAACCAGTTTACATGTCACATTATTAAACATGAGGTTCTTAAAGGGATTTACTTATTCTGGATTTAGGTTGTTTGATAAACTTTACTAGCAGTCACATATAGTTTGTAGTTTTTCACATCAGCACCAATAGTCTCTTTGCAGTATAGAAGTGCTTCCTGCACTGAAGAAATACCGGGTAATAGTTTCCTGCAACTGGTTGAGTCACTTCAAGATTCCAATCCTCTCGATAGTCTCGGACCTGAAACAGATTTTAGTAAATCATGATTTTGAGCAATCTTTAAAAGGTAAGTATAATGCTAAACTTAAAATTATTCACACTACATCATTAATGACACTTGGTTTTACTATGCATGTAACAAAAACAAATAAAAGTAAGCCTACGAGAGTAGAATCTTCGCACTTGCAACTATGTATCACATTAAAATTTAGATTATATTTAATCCAATCAAGTTGTAGAAGCCAAAGATATGAATTCAATGCAGGTTAAGCAGTGTCATCATTCAAAGAATAAGGATGGACTCTGATGCAAAGAGGTTTTTATCCTCCACCAACCAGAAAGAACAATTCTAAGCTACCTGTGGTGCAATACTGGTGCCTTAAAGAATTAATGGGGACAAATTATGGCATTTCAATGCTTCTACTATGTTCAATCACTTGTATTTCAGATATTTATGGCATGTGGCTAGACCAGTTCATTGCATGACATTTATTTAGTAGATCATTGTTATGAATGATACTGGAGCAACTCTGCTGTACAGAGATATTTCATAATGCAACCATGTAGTTCAAAATTAATCTGCAGAGAAATTTCATATTGCCACCATGTAGCTCAAAATTAATCTTCAGAGAAATTCACAATGCCACCATGTAATTCAAAATTCCTCTGTGAAAAAGTTAAATTTCAAAGAAAAAGAGAGGTAGAGAAGTCTCACAACAAGCATAATGTAAGGCCTTAGAAATTAATGTGAATTTAGGAAGAAGATTGATAGAGCAGTCAAACTTAATAACATCCACTATTCGTTTGTCATAGTCAATAATACATTCTAAAGATAAAAAATCTGCAATCTTGAACAGTTGAAAGAAGAAGAGACCAAATCATTTGGGCCAAAGCTTTGTTTTTGCAAAAGCTCAGGATCTAATCAGCTACCAATGAACTTCAGGAGGCTTGAAGAGCTTATAGATAATGACTTTAATGGACAATCATCATCATAGTAGAAATAAAAAAAATTAAAATAAATTTATTCTCCTTCCCTTGCCTAAAGAACAAAAAACAAAAAAAAAATCCCAATTCACCCAAAGAATTCAGTGCTGAGGTAATCCTATTTTGAACCAGCTGATCATGGACCACTTTCTACATCAACTGTCTTTGTGAACTAGGTCCTCTATATGGTCTTTTAGTGAGGAAACCAAAGCTCCCTTCAAGCCTGTCAATCTCAGTGATCCTGCAGTTGCTAAAGAGATCTTCTTGGATAATACTGTTAGGATCCAATTTATTTTCTGCGCTTTGAATAATGTGCAACGCAACTATCATCTCTCTCCTCAGCTATTGCCAAGCGATCGGTGCGGATAAGTCCTTCAAGCCTCGGCAACAGCCTTTCCTTAATGCACTGACAGAAACAGGGCAGCCTCAGTAGCAGCATCCTCCTCGCAGCAACCGCAGCGAGCCCTCAAGCTGCTCTCGGCGTCCGCTTCCTCGGCAGCCTCTCAGCGATCCCTCACGCCCTTATCGTTGCCTCGGGCCAAACTTCACAGCAGCCACACCGAATAGGGCAGTGCTGATGGCCTTGACTAGACACCAGAAATAAGAATCAGGGATTACAGATCTACAATCCTATGCAATAGCTACCGATAATTCAGTGAAAGCTCAACTAGAAGCCTTGGAAACTAGAATTCAGAACCAGTTGCAAGAAACACTTAATGATTTCAAAATGAGCCTATTGGAGAGCTTCAGCAAGCTTCAATAAGAAGAAAGTTCAAGTCTTACGTTGAACCGATCTGGAGACACCGAAAAAAGGAACCAAGAACAGAATACAAGCTAACCGTGCATGAAGGTGAAATTCCCAAGATGGGAAGATGGAGATCTGACCAGTTGGATCTCTAGGGCAGAAATTTTTTTTTCGTTTTCAAAGAACCCTAAAAGAATCCAAGGTAGAAATAACTTTAATCTAACTAGATGGAGATGCAATCCAATAGTATGATTGGTATGAAACCTATCAGGAGGTCCCCTCATGTGAGCAATTCAAGAGAGGACTTCTCGTTCGCTTTAGACCATCTGAATATGAGAATGTTGATAGGCAGCTCGTTAAATTCATCAGACTTCTACAATGTTAGAATATCAAAACAGATTTGAACAATTGTCAAATCAAGCCAGAGACTGGTTGAAACGATAACTGGTGAGAACATTTATTGAAGGACTTAATCCAGATATCCGATGTGAAGCCAAAGCTCGCTAACCACATACTAAAACAATTGTAATCTCATTTGCACATTTGAATGACGAAAAAATCAATAGAGAGAATTGTCGAAACAGAAGTCACAACAAACAAATGATCAGCAAGCCACCCGCCCCATCTATCCCCAACCGAAGCCCTAACACTAAAAAACTAACCCAAGAAGAACTCAAGGAAAGATCAGCGAAGGGTTTGTACTGACACTGTGATGAAAAGTGAAGTAAGGAGCACCGATGTAAACAGGGGCAACTTCTGATGATTGAACCAATCGAGGAGGAACCAAAAGCTAATAATGTGAACTTTGATCATGAAGGTATGGATTCTGATGAAGATGTTGGACTTATCATACATACAGTGCATGTATTAGCCGGTTACTTTAACCCGCAAACAATGGAAGTTGTAGGAATTTTCGAACATCAGCCTGTTACAGTTTTGATTGATACTGGTAGTACTAACAATTTTATGGACAGTAAGGTTGCTGACCGATTGGCCTACTACATTGAAGGCTGTGACAAATTCGAAATAAAAGTCGTTGATGGATAGATTTTAACTTGTGATAGGAAGTGTTCGAAGATAAAATTGATTATATAGGGCCAAGAGTTGCTTGTGGATTTCTTTTTGCTACCATTAGATGACTTCGAAGGGGTGCTTGGAATTGAATGACTATCAACCCTGGTTGATGTTTCTTGGAATTTTTCTTGGAAGTGATCAAGGAAGCCAAAAGGTGGAATAATATTTTATAGATGGATGAAAAAAAACAGATACATCCATATTTATAGAGTTCCACCCTTGTGTCCATCAGGACTTGAACTCCTAATAAATAAATAAATCTCAAATAAGTCCTTATCTAACTCTCACTAAACTAGACAAACTCAATAAAATATTATTCAAAGCTCAGAAAATAAAAGGGATCTTAACAAATACTTATAGATGAATATAGTTACTAGATTATTGTGAAGGGACCTCATATTAGTGAGAGCCACGTACATTGAGTTTGCCTTTTTTTATAATTTGAAACACTTGGAAGCGCAAAGGAGATTGGAATGTGGTCATTGTGTATATTTGCTAATCAAATGACAAAGGGCAGTGATCTGATTGAGAAACAGTTGTTTTTTATATTTCTCTAATATAGGTCCTGCTAAAAATACAAAGGTCGACCAAATCATCCTATCTATTGAAAATATTAAAAATTTCCATTTTTATTTTGAGGTACTATATTGATGTTGCAACCTGCAACCACCAATAATTTGAAGAACATTGAACAACAGATTTGAGTTGCGATCTATACCAGTACTTGCCAATTGTATCATATCATGATGATATGGTATCTATATAATTGTCTATGCAGTAAGAAGGAATTTGGCATTGTTCTTGCATGTATCATGTTAGACATCACTGGCATGCAACCCGCGTGTAAAATATAAAACCTCACAACCAACACTCACTAGGTAGTTCATGATTCAATAGGTTAAAGTTTTCCCAAGAGAAGTGGCCTATGTATCATATTTTTAGCCATATAATTCATAGTAGTTGATGAGAGTCATTATATTGGTTCCACAGTGCAATATATAGAAATAAATATATGTTTTTGCTATGACATAAGAAAAGAGAGCTTCAAAAGATTTAGTTGGGATACATAGATGGAAATGATATCAAGCTTCTCCAGTGTAATAAAGATTTTCCCAACAGCCTTCCTTTTCTTGCTCTTTCAGACCTTCAACATTCCAAGAAAATCTTTATGAAATCATAGGTTTGGCTCATTGAGAAGTTGAAAAAGGCTTTACAAAACTAAAGATAGAGCCCTTATAAGAGGATAATGAAACATCTGGGGGAAAGAAGAAAGATAAAATATGAACAGTGACTCATATGAGCTTGGCAGAACTTTTAAGAGTCAATCAAATCACCCGGAATAAATTTTGCACAATGAGGGGCATCCAATGGATAATGTCCTAAGACCCAATTAATTGTGTTCCACTTCATTGTTAGTATTGACATGTCATAATGGGAGAGCTAGGACCATTTAAGTTGTTTGTTCTATAGCATCCTCCAATAATGGAGCCTGACCCAAGTCCATTAGGAATAGGATTTGACAAATCCTGGATAAATAGGCCAAGTCCACTTTATGTATACAAGTGAAGAAAAGGAGAATCCAAGAAGGCTCCCAAAGAACATGTCTTTGGGAAGCATGAACAGAGCTGATGAGGCTGAAGGAAAACATGAGTTATGATGTGCATATTGCTTAAGTGGCAAAAGTATAGGACAGTAACCTAATGTGATGTTGAACAGCAAGGCATACATGAAAGTGGGTATAAAGAGGAAGCTAAGAAGGTAGAAAAAGATGACTAGAAGAACATCAAGTGTTCTCGAAAAGTTGGATCTACATGAGCTTTTTGAACAAAGAACCTAGAAAAGGCAATTAATCACAATCAGTAAATGTTTTTAAAATGTGAAAGTGAGCTTAATGAACCCAGATGTGGAAGTTCATATTTGATGTTAACAGATGTATGGTTTCAGAGGGACCAAAATAAATTTAGATAGATCATGATGGGGATCGAACAGAAATTTAGGAGTCTGTTGGAAAAGAGCTAGAATGGTAAATTGGCTCAACAGATTCAAGGTGACTAAGAGTCAGGTAAAATGGTGAATGAAATTTAACCAACAACAAAAGGAGTATTTATGCCATTTAAAGGGGAAGCAGTAAAATCACTATCACGTTTTGGGGATGAAGTGACACCCTAAACACTTCAGTGAAGAATATCCTACTGGAAGGAGAGGGATGAAGTGATAGACAATGGTAGGCCTGCTGTCAATCTTTATCTTATCAACTTTAGTTCTAGAAGTTCTAGTAACTTCAAAAAATAAGGATGCGATGATCATGACAAATGATGTTTTCCTATTTCCCACAATTTTCACTAATATTTCTTCTCTAATTAAACATCTAAATTATACAAACTTAATGGTTAAAGCTAGATCATAAAATGTTGCTAACGTTGGTAATACTTATGTTCCCAAGCATTTCCATGCAGTTTGTTCTTCATTATTTTCTTTGAGGCTCTTGTTTTGTAATTTTGTTCCATGTACCATAAAACATGTAGCATAAGACACGAGTTTATGTTAAGCAAAATAGACCAGTAATGCTAGTAAGAAAGAACCCATGTGCAAATACTAGAAATGCTACTAAGAAATGGTTCAAAAGCATCAGCCCAAGCAAACCCATATTTTCCCAAATTAACCTTTGAGAATATGTTAAACCAGCCACTCCAGAAATAAGTTATTTCCAATTAAAAATATATGCAACAACAACGCCATAAGTCCCAATTAAAAATATTTGTTGTACCAAAAAGGCAAAAACCATTCTTACTGAGTAATCCAGTTTAGGCAAAATGACAGTGTAAACACAAATGAGTAGAATCACAAAAAACAATATGCATTATATTTATTTTTATATGTAAAGGATCAGAAGTACCCGTTTTAGGAAATCCCTCCCATTAGAATCTGTATAAAATGTCCTATTTGTGACCATATTTGTTGTCAATCGGGTTATGACCTCCTTTCCCACACCATCATCAGTAGGAATTGGCCCAATCTTCATTAGAAGTAGTAGATAACTCAGTAGTGAACATAAATATATACTACATTTATTAGAATATAATAGACATTACCTTTGTAATGAAACTGTAAAGTACAATTGCTTAACTTACCGTATATTCTATTTCTGCATGCTCTTTGTCTTTATATAGTCTGGTAACCTGAAATAAATCAAGTTTTAATGATTTCGACTAAGAAAAACAATAAAATCCAACTTGTATGATAAAAAAGGGTAACAAATTGTGATAGCCTTGATATACATCAGCCATACTAGGTATGCTATTCTTCATAACTAGTTAAACTATGGTGGGCATGCCTGGATGTGGTAACAATTTTGTGCATTTTTGGGATCAACTGATGAAAGTGATGAATGCATGGTTGTTTTTGGGCATGCATGGGAGCATGGTTTAACCAACTGCAAGATCAAGTATTTTTGCACCTGACTATAGTAATTTTTGACATTTTCCTTTTTGAGTAAATATATAAATAACTTAAAGCTCTAGAAAATGAATTAAACAACATAAGTAATCACCATTTGAATCCTGTACAATGTAGACAGTGAAGCATGAATGATTCTAATTACCTATCGTATTCATACTGAATGAATGTAAATCATGATACTTCTAGGATACTTCTTAGAGACGTCAGATATGTTCTTGAAGTATTCAATTTTTTAAAATAACCATTCAAAAATATTAGATACTTTTAGGATACTTCGGGGACAGTAGGGTCTTTCATACTTTCTGGAAGAATTTTGTTGTAATTTAATATTGTTATTTTACTTGTACAGGTGGATATATAATTAGGTAGATTGTTCATAAGTTATTTGGATTAAACATGTGACTATAATGGAAAGACATTTTACTTTATTTATCAATTCTTGTCATCTTTTTTATAAGCTTGACATACTGTGTTCCTAAAAACAATATTTTCACAGGCTGAATAAGTGACAAACAAAAGCATAATACTTATCATGACCTGATAAGTTGACTATTTTAAGTACTTGGGCTTTTCTATTAGGATCTTAAAAAATGATCAAGTGACATTATTTCTGCAATCATTGTAAATAAGCAAGAGACAGAATGAGTGTTGGGTAAGAGGTGTAGACATCTTCAAGACTTCAAGTTCCTAAAATCATTGAGAAGCAAGTGCACCTTAAGAGTCAGTCCATCTAAAAAGTTGGTCTCTATATTGTAAATTTTGTTTGCAAGCAAAATATTTTTATGCAGCTCTATGGGTGATTGGCTTCTGCATGTGTACTGAAAATTCTATGATATTTCACTACATTTCCATAATTCCATTATTAAATGATCTGGAAAAATACATAGAGTTGATCTGGATACTCTGCAATGATTATAGTAACATCAAGGGAGAGTCTAATTGAGCAACTAAACTTTTTCACTAGTGTATTCTTTAAAAGAAAGTGAAATTTTACTACCTGATATATCCATGAATTGAATTGCTGGTAGACTTCATCCACTAATGGTCCACGTATAATCTTTAATGGTACCTAAAATATTCATACAAATCTGTCATGATTAATTTTGTATATTAACAAATATTTGGTAATAAATGCATATGTAAATTGAAATACCGATCTTGATGAAGGGACAGGTGGAGCCCCATTTGGCCTGAAAATATATGCTCCAGATGCCTAAAAAGATCATCATGCATGTGAAAGATATCAAACAATTAAGTTGCATACATGATTTCTCAACATCAATAAAATCAAGTAATGTACTTGTGGATCTGTGTCCCCGCTGCTTGCTCCATACCACAGATAGTTTTGTTGTATGGATATATCCACCTAATGTAGAAAAAAACATTGGGCAAAGTACAAACAGTAAGATTTAATTTGACTGAAGTTTCAACTTTCAAACAACACAATGAAGCTTTACCTGAGAATACATATGTATCAAGGAATTAGGAATAAACATTCACATTAATACAATAAACAATGAAATAAAAAGGATAAGGAATAGATTTATTGGCTATCAGGATAGCAAATATAGTTTCTTATAACCAAATAAAAGATTTTTTGTCAAGATTAGGATAAGGGAATAGCTACCTAAGAGACCTTAAGATTCTCATGTTTGCAACATTTAGTTTTCAGCATCATGTAAGAGGGGATCCTATAAAATTTTCCAGAACCACTTGAGCTTTTATTGAGGTTTTAAGCATATAAATAACTAAAATTAAATTGCTTTTCATAGTAACTCCAACTTTCCATCTAGAACAAAGATGGCTTGCATGAATTAAATGGCAAGGCAATGTGAACTACGATGCAATGCTAGAATTCCTGATTGAAAAATCCATGAACTAAATATTATATCTCTTGGCTTCAGTAATACTTTTGGAGTTCTTGCCTGTCCATTATAGAATGATAATTAACTGGATGATGTCTGGTACACACAATCTCACTAGTTCATAAAACAAACATGTGCTAAGGGACTGACAACCAGATTAGCTGATTTATGAACATATCAGTACTAGCAAAATTAGTGCTCTACTAAGTGTATTTGTAATATGAGAGTTGGAGAAAGTTGTGAAATTATGCATCTAAAGTTTTCGTTTATATTGCTGTAAATATCAATGATTCAAATAACAACTGCACCACCATTACAACAAGAAATTGAGAGGCATGAAGATTGGGCCATTTCATGCCATCCAACAAGAAACTGAGCACACCGCATAGTACACTTACTATACCAGGTGTGCCAGCAGATATGCTTCTCCTACCATGCATACAGTCCAGTTTTTGACTATTAGAGCCAAGAAACTGGACAGTCAGAATATCACCTGGTTTCCAAATCCATCTTTCCAGCCATTAAGTCTCTTTTCAAACCTTTTCTTAGTCTTTTTACCCCATCTCAATTTCAGCCTCTTCTTTTCTGATTTCTTCATCAAATACTTTCAATCGCACTTTCATACTCAGTTATCAAATTCGAGGCCAGTCTCAAGCAATTGAAAGTCCATTCTCAAGAAATCATCTCACTTTTATCCCAAGAAAGGTAAATCAAAATCCAAAATTTAAAATTATTCACTTATATTTTGTTGAGTAAAGTTATATTCATGTATTTTCTTCCTAAGAAGCACGGACATAGACACAGGACACGGACATGACGGCATATCATTTTAAAAAAAATTAAGATATCACACGACAAGAACACATGGATTTTTTTAATCTATATATATAATATTCTATTAATATAAGTTTTATGGTATTTATACTTAAATTTTTTAAACTCAATAATTTGAACAAATAAATATCATCATACAATCAAAACAATTAAAATCATCTAAATGTAAGTATCCAAAATAAAGATTGAGTACCTCAAATAATATTTACAATCTCTAGATATAATTGATATATATTTCCTTGCGATGATCTCAACCTTTGTTTCCTTACAATGCTGATGATCCGTCTCCACGTAGAATCCAAAGCAGATGGCCCTCAGCATAGCACTGCATGTGAGGGTCACACAACGAAGTGTACAAGAGTGGTGTTGTGTCCCACAAATAAAAATGAAAATAAATAAAAAAAGACATGACTAGACATGTGACGGACACGTGTCCAACCATGTCGATGATGTATGTGTCCAACACGTGTCAAACACAGACACGTCCACCAAAAGCACATGTCCATGCTTCTTAGCTTCTCCTTAAGGTCATGATTTCGTGGATTCGGACTAGAATTTTAGGTTTTTTGTTAATTTTATGGATGAATACCAAATGTGAAATGAGATTTTTTTTTTGCAACTTGAGGACAATTCATTTAGTTCTGGCCAATATCTAATGGATCCAATCAACATTCATTAGGAATGTGTTAAAAATTTGTTTAGATCTGTTCGGATCTAACATATATTAAATGTCGATCCTACCTAGATCCACATAGATGTGACCTTGATATTCGTAAATCTAGACTAAAATCTGCACAGATTGGACCTATATATTAGTAGATCTAACTTCAATCCACATTAATCTAGCCCAAATCCATGTGTATCCAAACTAAAATCCATATAATCCCAGCTGAGACCTGGACTATACCTATGCATTTAGAGGCCTAATCTAAATGGATCTGACCTTAACATCGAATATCAAATATAAATTTAATAATTACCTTTTGAAGTTGAGTGGTCCCTCAAACTTAGATGATCCATATTTAACTCAAAGAAAGCAGCAATGTGGATCCGATCATAGACCACTTCATCAGCAGATGCAAGATATAACTGACACATGTTCACCTTGATGCACACCAAAGTTAACATCTGGTTTTTTTAAAGATGCTTGGAGAAACTTGCATATGTTTGTTTATCAGGCACCCCAAGTTGGACTCCCATGAACTGGACAAAGAAATAGGAGTTTAATAGTATATGACTTGAACTGATAACAGATTGAATGTGCAGTAGAGAGTGTCAATGATCCACTTCTATTGTCCATCTCATTTTGTTTCAAAGGCAATTAAGGAAGAGGAATGACAAGGTCATAGGAGGAGGCTGCTCAGGATACAGAAGAGCACATCCAATGTCAGGTTGTGGACATGATATAGGCAATCAGTCCTCCATGGCTCATGGCAGAGCACATTAAATCACTAATTTAGCCATCATGTAAGAGAAAATTTTGTTCCTCACAGTCAATTGATACTTTGGACTATCGGTAGACAGATAAGTGGAGCTTGGCCTAAGGAACAGTATGTCAATCATCCAGGATGAAGATCATGGTGCACATGGATCCATGTGACTTTTTTTATGGCCAAAAAGATAAGGGCAAGAGGAAGACAATGGATGACTATGGAAGATGAGACAGAATTCATATGACCTCAAATGAAAATTTACACTCATATTCACACTTTCTACTAGCACGGATTTCATAACTAACAGTTTCATGGTGATAATTGATTATTTTTCTTGGAGTCGGATATGTCATTTGGCACAACACTAGTACAGTTATGACAATCATAGTTTTACAGCAGTACATCCTGCAAAGTCATACTTGCATAGTTGCTTTTGCCATAGGAGCCTGATGCAACATGGGTTATTGACTACTAACATGTTATTCTATTAATAACACACTATTTACTAGCATCAAATACCATGAGAAGTGTTTCATGCATCTCGGATTTTGATACTGAAATCAATTGATAAATTAATGATCCAATCTATGTGTTGAGATAAGTGTTGCAGGATTAACTACGATAATGGTTAAGGCATAAAGCAAATATTGGGCCAGAGAAAGATCGGATGATATGGTGAAGATTCGAACGATGTGCCAGAAGCTCGCTGAGAGTTCGTTGGGAGTTCGCTGAGAGCTCGTCGAGAGTTCGTTCGCCAAAAGCTCGTCGGGAGTTCGTCAAAAGCTCACCGAGAGTTCATCGGGAGTTCGCTGAGAGTTCGTCGGGAGTTCGCCAAAAGCATGCAGAAAAGTTCACCAAAAGTTTGTCGAGACTTCGTCGGAAGAACGATTGACATACCGGACAAAGATTGCTTAGCTAATACCTTAATTATCGTAGTTAGAACTTAGATTGAGTTAGAATTGGGCGATAATCCCACTAACTCAGTTAGGGGACAACTGGGCCCAAGGCAAGGATGAGTTGGGCCGGATGGAAGGCCCACTCGGCCATTTGGAGCCATGCCAGGCGGTGGCACCGACCAGGGTGGGCGGTGGAACCGCTTGAGGCTCAGCCTCCAAGGAGGTATGAGCGATGGTATCGCCCAGACTGAGCAGTGGTACTACCAACCATAAAGGCTGTCAGGTAGTAGTACCGCCAGAGCCCAATCTCCGAGGCTCTGTCAGGTGGTAGTACCGCCCAGTGTCAGAGTATCAGGCAATGGTACCTCCAACACCCCGAAAGTCCGGGAAGAGACTTTTTGGCTTCAATTCTGAAACCTTTGGGGCCTATAAATACCCCTCCTTTCTGCATGAAAGGATAACAAAGGCTATAACAAAGTGTGAAAAAATCTTTGAGTGTTGGGGTTTAAAAGTGTTGAAAAAAGAGCTAAGAGTCCTCCTCCTCTTTCTTCAGCTTTGTAATCATTAAAGAAGAAGTATGAGGGTTGTAAGGGTTGTCTCCTAAACCCGTAAAAAGGAGAAAGCTTTGTAAGAAGGTGGTTGGTCTTCGCCTATTGAAGGAAGACCATTAGTGGACGCTAGTGACCTCAACGGAAGAGGAATCGAAAGTGGATGTATGTCACAATGATCGAACCACTATAAATCCGATGTATTCTTTCCTTACTGCTTTCTACACTTTGCATATACTTTAAATCATTATTTTCATTACTTTCCGATATGGGCTTTGTCGAAACGATTGTATCGAAAGAAATTTTCCGACTCAACAAAATTTGTATCGTTGCACTAATTCACCCCCCTCCCCCCTCCCCTCTTAGTGTCGTATTGATCCTAACAATTGATAACAAAGCAAGGTTACTCTCAATTTATTTTTAAACCTAAGAGAGATGGATTTTGTCAGCAATCATGAGGGTCATTCTATCACACGTCCTCCCATGTTCAATGGAACAAACTACACTTATTGGAAAACTAGAATGAGGATTTTCTTAATTTCTATTTATTTCGAGTTATGGCGTATCGTCAAAAATGGATTTCAAAAGTCTTCTCTTCCAATAAACGATTGGAATGATTTGGATAAGACTTTCTCTTTGAATGTCAAAGCTATGAATGCTTTGTTTTGTGCATTAGATAAAAATGAATTCAATCGAGTTTCTATTTGCGAAACGGCTTATGATATTTAGCATACACTTGAAATCATACACGAAGGCACGACTAGAGTTAAGGAGTCAAAAATCAATTTTT